AGAAGAAGAAGAAGAAGAAGAAGAAGAAGAAGAAGAAGAAGAAGAAGAAGAAGAAGAAGAAGAAGAAGTTGTTAATGAGAATAGCAAGCAAGAAGAAAATAAAATTTAAAAAATAAATTTGCAATCACTTTCAAAATATTTCAGAATCAACGGAAGAAAAGACATATAAAACCTCTGTGATAAAAACGAGGCAGCATTGCCAAAGGAAATTAAAGACCTAAAGAAGTGGAGAGACATGTGACGTTCCTGGGACTAAGCAGGACAAGCACAGAGGATGGAAACAGGAGAGACTCTTGACTCCAGTTTATAGCTGTTAGGCCAATGAGATAGCTCAGCGGACTAAAGCATCAGCTTAGGCAAGTGCAGGGACCACAGTTTGATCCACAGCGCCACAAGCTGTGCCAGGCCTGCCCCTATGGCAGGCTGAACTGCCCAGAGTCCGGGTTTAGTGTCCCATACCTATAATCCCAGCACTGGGGAGGCTGAAAGCAGGAGGATCGCCATGAGTCCAAGCTGCATAGCAAGACCCTGCAACAACCAAATACATTTTAAAAAAACAAAAAAGTTTATAGCTGTTGCTGTTGTTGCTGCTGTTGCTGCTGCTGCTGTTGTTGTACTGAGGAATGAATCCAAGGCCTGTGCCTGGTCTGCCACTGAGCTACAGTTCTTGCATTCCCAGTCCCAGACCCTTTTAAAAAAATTTCTTTTGAGATAAGGTCTCACTAAGTTGTCCACACTGGTCTCAGACTTACAGTCTTCCTGCCTCAGCCTCCTAGCTGGCTGGGATTACAGGCACATGCCATCAACCTGGGCCTAGAACTAGATTTTACAGAGCTCCAACATTGAGGGGATGAGTGGGTTAAGGTGAGCTAGTGAAGGCAATTAAGAAGTGACCAAAGGAAAGAGAGGGAGACCAGAAGGGCCCAATGTCCCCAAATCCATGGGAAAAGGATGTTTTAAGAAATTATAGGGGCCGGGGAGATGGCTCAGTAGGATAAGCGCTTGACTGACAAACACAAGGATCTGAGTTCAATCCCTGGTTCTGCCAAAAAAAAAAAAAAAAGAAATTATATATCAGGCTGGGGAGATGGCTCAGTGGAATAAGCACTTCCCTGGCAAGTGCAAGGGCCTGAGTTCAATCCCCGGTTCCACCAAAAAAAAAAAAGAAAAAAGAAAAGAAATTATATATTAATTGAATAAGAAAAAAAGTCCACTGGGGGCTGGTGAGATGGCTCAGTGGTCTAAAGTATCTACTTAGAACAAGCTTAGCAAAGCACAGGGACTACAGTTCAATCCCCCAGCACCACATGCCAGCCAGCCCCGCCCCCTGGTGGGCTGAGCTGGCCACACACACACACACACACACACACAGAAATAAGTAAATAAATAAAAATTTTTTTAAAAAAGTCCACTGGATTTAGTCACACAGAAGTCACTGCTAACCTTATGAAGAGAAGGTCCTATGGAGAGATAAAGCCAGCATGCAGATTAGAATAGATTGAGGGTGACTAAGAAATACGGACACGAATATGATGCTAAAGAACTTTAATCAGTCTAATTTCCTATTATTCATTATTATTAGTATTATTATTATTAGGCCAAGTTGTCCTGATAATAAGAAATTGGACTTGGAGGGCATTGTAAACCTATGACTTTTGTGAAATCTTACCTGTCGAATTCATCCCAAGATTGTATTTCCTTTTCCTGTGACATAGATGGCATTTTGAATCATAAGTTCAAGTTTCCTTTGTTATGTTACCTTTGTAGCTACATCAAACTTAGCAGAGTGACATCTCCCCAAAAAACCCCACACGCTTTTATGACAGAGGAAGTCACGGGGCTTGGTGGGGATGGAGGGGAAGAACCGATAGGCAGCTTCTTCTCCTCAGTACTCACTTTCCAGTAAGCTTCTGTTTGCATTTCAATCCAGATCCTCATGAATATTTATAGAAAATCATAAAAGCAGAATGACACAAGTGAATTTGGTGGTAAGCAACAGAATGGTCCCTCTATCTGCCCTGTGTATCTGGAAAGTGCCTGTGTGTGCTGAGAAAAAGAAGAGGTAAAACTCCTTAGTTCTAGAAGAGAGAAGAGCTGAAGAGAATAAAGGCTAACCATCAGGTCTCTGAATCCCAGGTTCTAGGCCACAGAGAACAGCAATGGATGGATAAGAAACAGAGAATCAACATGTTTTAGGGAAAGATTGGAGATTCTGTAAGGAGAGGCCAGGCCCCAGATGGCAAAAGAGATACCCCTTCCCTAGGTCAGGAGGAAAATGGGGGCTATGGTTCAGGGGTGGAGGGTGTGCCTAGCATGCACAGGGCCCTGGGCTTCATCCTGTGCACCACAAAAGTAAGGAACAGAGAACCCTGCTGTGACTGTCTTTATTTCCTTGGGTGTATATTGCCTTATTTATTGGTTTGCTTTGTTTTTAGAGACAGGATCTGCTTGTATAGTTCAGGCTGGCCTTACCACGTAGCCCAGGTTGGTATCAAACTCACAGCAGTCCTCTTGTTTCATCCTCTTGAGTGCTGGAATTGCAGGCCTGGACCACCACCCCTGAATTCTCGGGTGCGTATTGTTTTTGTTTTTTTTTTTTTTTTCAGAACCGGGGATTGAACTCAGATCCTTGCGTTTGCCAGTCAAGCGCTTATCCTAATGAGCCATCTCCCCAGCCCCTCGGGTGCATATTGTAAAAGGACTCAGAAGCTTCTAACCTAGACCTCTAAGTAGACCAGAGAGGGAAAAAGAGGGGAAAGGACAAGAGTACCTCATCTCAAGAGGGAGGGAACGTAAGAGGGCAAAGGCCAGTGCTGGGTGTCACATCCCTGTGAGGAGCCGCACGGGCATCTAAGCTTGGGTCTTCTAGATTCCTAACATTTTCCCAGTATGATGGCACAACTGAGCCTCCAGCTATTTTACCAAATGGCTCTTGGTCTGTGGGAGGAGGATGAGATTAAGGACATCCACTAAATGCTAAATCCCAGACCCTGCACTTTGTATCTGCAGTCTCACCAAGTCCTTTCAGAAATCCTGTGAGGTTAATATTCCCATGCTCGCCTGACAGAAAAGGAAACAAAAGTTCAGAAAATTGATCTGCTCCAGAGCCCTAATAAAGGGATTTGGATTTGAGCCGACATCTGCCTGACCTTAAATCCCATGCTATTTCTACCATCATAAGACAGAAGCTAGGATCCTAGACCCAATCTGCTTCATTTGAGAGGCACAGGAAAATTGTTAGGGAGGAAGGCAGGAGACCATACACACAGAAAAGAAGCTAAAGAGTAAAAAGGAAGCAGGAAACCTCTTTTCTGATAATGAAATTGACATTGTAGGTGCTAACAGGAGAAAATGCCTAGTAAAGAAAAAAGAAGAGATTTGACTCATTTAAAAAAAAAAAAAAAAGACTGGGGTTAAAATAAAAAAAACAAACAGGAAGTCAGGACAGAAAAATCTGTGTTTGGAAGTCAGAGAGAGGCTCTCCAGGGAGAATGGAGACTTGGAGGCCCTATACTATGCTGGAGTTTGGGAGGAAACAGTGCTTCTTGCCTCTGGCCTGGTCACATGACCTCAGGGTATAAAAGCTTTTCACCAGCCAGGCCCCATGCAGCTGTCCTGTGTGAATGGGCAGCAGCAGTAACTGAGGTGCTGTTCCTCTTTCTTCTCAGCTACCAGACTGGCCTTCAGGACTAACCTCCAGAAGCCATCCATCAAGAGCAAAGACAAGGCAAGATGGCTGACTGAGTGCTTGTGCTCTGGGACTTGATTGCAGGATCCAACAGGGACAGAAAGGTGTTGTGGGCAGTGCTGGATGAAGGGGAATACAAGGGTCAGACTCCAGAGGCAGGAGCTATCCTGTTGGGGCAGGGAGCCTCTGACTGGGGCATCCAGAGAGGACAGATGTGTGTAGGCAGCCAGGGTTACCAGCCCAGTGGAAACTGAGTCACCCCATGAAGAATCAGAGTTCTTTTGTTTATAGGCGAATGGGGCTCAGCTGCAATATGTGAGCTTTCCTGGACATCTTTATAGTCTCTGGGGAATGAGCCCCAAAGCATAATGCTAGCTCACACTTCCCCCCACGCTGCCCCAGATTCCCCTGTTTAATAGCATCCCAGAGTATTTGAACAGAGTTGAATAAAGTGGAGGACAATTGTGTTCTGCAGCAGGAGAGAAGAGCAGAGGCGGGTAGGGAGGTAGGTGGGGGGCTGGGACGGCCAGCCTAGGGTCCACAGTGCCTGGGTTCTCTCAGCCTCCTTATCCTGGAACACCCCTTGCAGCCCTCTCACAGCTGTGAAGCTTCCTCTCTTGCAGGCTCAAGATGGAAACTGATAACAGTAACTTCCTGTATCTGTGGGGCCAGTAGGAGAAAGGCCGGGGGAAACTGGAGGGGGAATTCCCTTGGGGAGCCAAGGATCGGTCTCCCCCAGAGACGCAGGATGGCAAATGTAATAAATGCTGCTTAATATCCCGCCCAAGGCAAAGTCAATAATTGCTCTGGGCAGTTCTGGCAGGTGGTGTGAGCTTTCTGCAGTGGTGGCAGCAGAAAGCTTTGGGCTGGGAAGAAGGGAAGCGCGCCAGCGAGCATGTCTGCGTCCTGACCCGGAGGAGGACGGTCTGCAGGCTGCGAGTGGGGCCTCTTGACTCTGCGCTGTTCCGTCCCCCTCCAGAATCATGCTGGACTGGCACAGCTCCTTGATCCTCACAGCCTACATCCTCATCTTCCTCACCGGCCTCCCTGCCAACCTCCTGGCGCTGCGGGCCTTCGTGGGGCGGGTCCGCCAGCCCCAGCCTGCGCCCGTGCACATCCTCCTGCTCAGCCTGACCATGGCTGACCTCCTCCTGCTGCTGCTGCTGCCCTTCCGGATCATCGAGGCTGCGTCCAACTTCCGCTGGTACCTGCCTCAGATCGTCTGCGCCCTGACTGGTTTCGGCTTCTACAGCAGCATCTACTGCAGCACGTGGCTCTTGGCCGGCATCAGCATCGAGCGCTATCTAGGAGTGGCCTTCCCCGTGCAGTACAAGCTCTCTCGGCGGCCTATATATGGGGTGATCGCCGCACTGGTCGCCTGGATTCTGTCCTTCGGCCACTGTACCTTTGTGATTGCTGTTCAGTACTTGAACTCAACCCAGCCAGTGAGAGACGGAAACGAAGTAACCTGCTATCAGAACTTCACGAAAGAGCAGCTAGACGTGGTGCTACCTGTGAGGCTGGAGCTGTGCTTGGTCCTCTTCTTCATCCCCATGGTGGTCACCATCTTCTGCTACTGGCGCTTTGTGTGGATTATGCTGACCCAGCCCAACGTGGGGGCCCAGAGGCGGCGGCGAGCCGTGGGACTGGCTGTCGTGACCCTGCTCAACTTCCTGCTGTGCTTCGGGCCTTACAACTTGTCGCATTTGGTGGGATTTATCTTAAGGGAAAGCCCCCCGTGGCGGGAGGAGGCTGTGGTGTTCAGCTCTCTGAATGCCACCCTGGACCCGCTACTGTTCTACTTCTCTTCTTCGGTGGTGCGCAGGACTTTTGGTGAAGGGCTGCAGCTGCTGCGCCGCCAGGGCTCCTCTCTGCTGGGATGCAGAGCCAAAGAGACAGCAGAGATGACAATTGGGGCCGGGGGCATGAGTCAAACAGAGAGAATGCCAAGTTCGGACTTCGTCACGGAGTGACCATTTCCTGGATCTTCGGGTGCTCTGGGTCACCCGCGAGTTGGGCAGCTAGGGAGACGGGCAGCTCCCAGATGCAGGAATCCTCAGGCCCAAACTATGTCTGGAACTTGGTAAAAGCCTCTCAGTCTGGTATTCCTGCCTGGATTTTTCTTCCTAAGTGAATGTAGTTCAATGACTAGAGAAGAAATGGTTAGGCCTAGAAGCACTGAGTGGCCAGGATGTTGGAAGCAAGGTAGCTGATGCACATTTAGTCTCTGTGAGGAAGTTGGTGGAAGGGAAAGATGTGGCAGAAGCAAAGTGTCCTAAAGCGATCTTGCTAAGGTGCTTAGAAGCGGCACCTAGACACTGACTGGCCTGGCCCTTGGCGCTAGAAAGAAGCCAATGGGAAAGAGATGGAAGAGGTGACCAGAAGGGCTTAGAGCTCTACTGATCTGGGTTCTGCTGTATTGGTTTGACTCACTGTTCTGTATTTGTGTTTCATTCTTGTGTCTCCTCCATGAAACTGAGGCCTGGATCCCTTTGCCCTTCATGGTACCCCACAGGGACCAGCCTGTGGCTTGGCACCTGCCCTTCTGAGCTCAACACTGGCCAGCACAGGACAAAACAATTTGTTTTAACAGACTGAGAATAAAGATTAGAGAACTGTGGAGTGTCCGCCATTTTCATACCAAGTCAGGAAGGGGAGAACCAGAGGAGGGTGGGCCAGGTAGGACAGCACAGGGAGAAGGCGCTGCAGTGGAACCCACAGAGACCTTTTCAGATGGAAATGTAATGATGGGGAAACTGGTAAGGACACTGAGGAAATCTTCTTAGACTAAAAGGAGGGAAGGCTGGGCTTAGAGGATGCAGGCAAATCCCAACTCAGAGCTACCTGTCTGTCCCAGGGACTTAAAACAAGTTCCCTCTTTCTTGCTTAGTAGTCTGCAGTTCCCTGTCATCAAATTTTCTCCTCCCTGGGCCGGGGAGATAGCTTGGTACTCTAAGCGTTGCTTAGCAAGTGCAAAGACCTGGGTTTGATACCCAGTACCACATGCCATGCCAACCCCATGCTGATGTGGCCACCGAAACCAGATGTGGTGGCACATACCTGTAATCCCAGCACTGGGGAGGCTGAGACAGGAGGATTACTACAAGTCTGAGCTGTATAGTGAGACCCTGTACCAAAAAATAAATAAATAAATAAATAATTTTTAAAAAATTTCTCCTCTCATAATTTATCATCCTTTTGCCTGCTTTGTGCCTTCTCCCTTCCTAGTCTTACCTCCCTGACTCATTTCTCCACAGTAAGGACCCCTGGTTGAATTAACTAGTTCTTCAGCTCTCAGCCTGTGGTTTGCGGCTCGAGTGACATACCACAGTTACATGTGGAGATGTGACAATAATACAGAGCCACTGCCACCCTACTGACAGGATAAGGAGCCTCTGTGGATGAGCCTCACGGAGCAACTGAGCCTCAGGAACCCAATCTGTCTAAGAAATTACTCTTCAGAGAGATTTTTCCTGCCTTTGCCTCTCCCCTCACCTCCACTCCGTACTCCCAACCTTCCAATCACTTGTTTTGACCCCTCTTACAAAACCTCTCTCCAATATTAACTTTTGAGAAAGCTTTTATTACCCCCTCTTACCCAAAAACTCATTCCTTCTTCAAAGGTAGTCTGGATCAGGTACCTCTGAGCCCTGACTTTAGTACTTGGGCATCTTACTAGCAAGCCTAAGCTTTCCAAGTCATAGTAATAAAGATAAGGTACATCTTCCAGGAGTATTCCGAGGAGTAAAATGTGATTATGAGTTCTATCCTTGGCATACACACACACACACACACACACACACACACACACTCAAAACTGTAGATGTAAAATTGTTGAGAGGGCCGGGGAGATGGCTCAGTAGAATAAGCGCTTGCCTGGCAAGCCCAAGTGTCTGAGTTCAATCCCCGGTTCTGAAAAAATAAATAAATAAATAAATAAATAAATAAAATAAAAATAAAAAAAATAAATGCACTAAAATTGTTGAGAAATTGTAGAGTATGTTATTTAGCTCCAGAGATGTCAATCGTATGACGCGCAGACGTTTCTTCACTTCAAGGAAATATAAGTAATAAATTAAAAATATGTGAAATATATTAAGCAATCAACTATAGGATGGTTTAGCAGGAATATATGAGAAAAAAATCTGGCATGTTTCAGTTTATTATGAGTCTTCCATGCATTATAAGTTCTTTAAAAAAAAAAAAAAAAAGCAAATGTGATTTAGATGGCACCAAAACGAACAAGTTTAAACAAGTTGATAATGTCACCACTCCACTTGGATGCATGTAATCGTGCTCAGTACTGACACATTTATAAGAAGCACATTAATTCAGAGAGGGAATAAAACATGGAACAAAATGTTTAAGAGATTTTTAAACCACATACCAACAACAATAAAGGCTGTCGAATATCAGACACCGTGCCAGAGAAGGAGCCAAAAGGATTAAGGTCATTTTCCAAGTTGAGTAGGTAAGAGGTAGACCAAACCCTGGTCTTCCAACTCCAAAATGCCTGCTTGTATCTACTACTGCAGGACAAGAAGTGAGAGGATGCCGCAGTGCAGGAATGAGCTTGGGACACAACGGGATCTATTCCACAGAAGAGGTACTCTAGCCCCATAGCAAAGAGCAAAGAGCATGACAGAGAATGAGATTTCAAACAGCTGGGGCTGTTTAAACGGAACTGACTCCCCCATCCAAGCAATCAATCCCCAATTTCCAGGAACATTCAAGCAGAAATTAGCAATCACCCCTGTGAGGACACTGAAGAAACTCACATCTGATAGGGGCTGAGTGCGTGAACCGACCAGCCCCTCCAAACTCCAAGATCCCCAGGTTCTTCAGGGATGCAGCAGCTCTTGCTAACCAGGAAAGTACAAAATGAAGTCATGTGGGAATTCAAGGGGCTGTTAGGAAATAGCTGGCCTGAGGCTTTCAGAGGGAGGCTTTAGCTTCTCCCAAGAATGCAACCTTAAATCACTTGATACACCAACTCATTTCTTTATTGGGAAATCAGTAATTTATTACTGTGGATACTCCTTGTCTCTTGATTGGGGATTGTTCCTAAATCTAAAGTGCATTTAATACAGCTTGCTGGCGAAAAACCTTGACTTAGAGACACAACACTGCAGAGTGTAACTGCTGCTGCTTGCTGCCGGTGCCGAGCACTGTGGGAGAACGTCATGTGGTATGTCACTAGCCGAGTCACTAGCTCAGGGAAGAGCCACATCCACAATGCAAACTACAGCTCTACTGAAGGATTTGGCACCACCTTAAAGTTGAAAAATCCTGTGATCCTTCTTTTTTTGTTTTTCATTTAGTATAGGATCTACAGGGTCTCACTACATAGATCAGACTTATAGTGATCCTCCTGCTTTCAGCCTCCCAAGCACTGGGATTACAGGCGCACACCACCACATCCAGTCTCAATCGCCATCTCAGCCTGCCCTGGGGTTGGGGCAGCTCTGCACACTGGGGATTGAATCCCAGCCCCTGCGTCTGCCTAAGCAGGCACCTTAATCCACTGAGCTATCTGGCTGGCCCTGTTGATCTTTCTTAAACCAAGGACTACCTAGATAAGCCACTTTCCTGAGGGCTGGTGATATGGAATGAGCAAGACACCTGCCTGGTGGGGGTTCCCATGCTGGCAAATGGAAACTAGCTAAAAAGAAATAGAAACCCAGTTTAGGGGAAGTAGAATGGGAGGGAGAGAAAGTGTAAAGCCTTCCCAGAGAGTCAGTGACGCTTCGCCAGCCTGGCAAAGAAAAGGAGTTACTGTATAAAAGGTCCATGGGAGGAGCCATCCTTTTATTCCATTTTTTTATTTTTAAAATATTTTTATGAGACCATGTTTATGATGCATAATAATTACATCCATCTTGGGGAACGGAGACATTTACATAACACTTCTTAATCACTCGGATTTCCCTTCTTGTCCCTCTTTCCCATCTTCCTCTATCTCCAACTCCCCTCCCCATCTCTGCATGTACCCCATCAGGAATCTTTGCTCTTTGTTGTTTTTTTTTTTT